TTCTCCCCTGTGTGTGTCAGCTTAAATCAGACCCTCTCTTTACTGTACTTGGAACACAGCCATTTTTGCAGATGTATAAAATAAGGTCTAAAAAACGTAATTTGTTTGCCCAAGTCACAGAGCAAGTCAACAGTCAAGGCGTGGAGCGGGACTTGATTTTTCTGAAATTTGGGAGTATAAAAGAACTCATTGGGCCATACTGCCTTTTCAGGAATTGCTAACAATAAATTACTTAGGCAGCTGAAGATACACACCTCACTTCAATGAGTTTGATTAAAAATGTTACTAACTGAGGTTTATGAAATGAACCATATTTGTGAGACTGGGAGGTAAATTCTAGATTATTTTTTTAGAAGAAAAAGTGGAAGAAAACACATTAAAAAAAAAAATTCCCAAAACTTTGGAGAGCTCATTCTCAAAATCATTCTGGTAGTGGCTTCTGTAACAAGAGATGTGTACACAGTGCTGCTACCTAACCAGAGGTTCTTACAGCACTAGTGTGTGCAATCACAGGAAACACTTCCACAGAGGATTTTACATCAGGGTACGGATTAAGACTTCATTTAAGATTTTCTTTATACTCCCTGGAGTGTCATGTGAGGCCACACAGATCCCTCTAGTCACGCAGAATGGTGGAGGCTCCTTCCTATTCTGAAAATTATTCTCCCTTACTTTTCATAAGGTTTTCTGAACTAGCAAACCCCACAAAAATCCCAAAGCAGCATGAAAAACAGTAAAAGGGATTTTGGTATTTTTTCCTTTTATGCCTTCAATGAAATTTGGCTTTATTTTTTATTTTTAAATTCATTTTAGAATTTTTCACTAAAGAAAACATCTCATGGTCATGATCTTACAAGTCCTTGGACTCCATTTAGCACATAACCTAACTATGAGTGAAAATTATCTATTGGATAGAAGCAAAAACTAGACCTTGATGTAATTGTCTGTTGTGACTTACTGCAAATTTGAAGACCTTTACATTTCATTCATCACAAAAACATGCAGGATATGGAAAAGTGTGAATTTAGATGTTTCTTGGCTAAAAGTGATCCTTAACAACCTGGGTGCCACTTACCTACATCTCCCTCTTACCTCCTTGTTCTCACTAGTAAAAGCACACTAACTTAGTAACTGTACAGTAGTGCCCACTAATGCAAAACTCAGTTCCCTACAGCTTCCAAAATGCCGTCTTCAAATTCTGCTTCTGTCTGTAACATGAAAGCTATCTACCTAAACTGTATCAAGTCTCACTCCTGAAATTGTCTGGAAAGCCGTCTCCTCCCAAACTGAGATGTCACAAAAGTTAAGCACACCCTAATAAATCAGTCTCTAGCAAAACCGGCTGCATTTTAAGAGATTAAATCCTCAGAATCAAACAGTTCCTGCCAGAAACCCCCAAAGGATGTCAAGATGGCTGTGCTAGTGACACGGCATTCTCCTGGACAAGCCCGCTCCATGGTATTTTAGCACTGCAAACCCAGAAGCGCAGTTTCTTTGTGCAGGACATCATTAGTGCATCATTGCTGAGATGACATACTACTGCTTCTCCCATCACATGGATGGGCTGCCAAATTGTGCACAATTTCTGTGCAATAACAACCCCTTGCACACCCTTCTGGTCAGGGCACAGATATTGGTGGATAACTTTAGGCCCATCTTGTCTCCAATTTGTCATCTCATTTCGTACTAACCATGCACGGAGTCAATGCCTACACGTGACTCTGCTGCACCAGTCAGAGGAAAACGTCGCTGCTTTCCAAATATTCCTGCAAACTGAGGAGCAGGCCCAAACACTGCAAGTACCATCACCTACCTTTAATGGATTTAGGATATTTTTCTATTTTTTAAAAAGCAAGATATTTGAGAAAATAAACAACTATGATAAGCCTGCTTCACCTCCACATAATCTGTGGGCAAAACCAGACAAGCTGGAATAGCCATGGACTAATCTATCTTTCAGCAGACACATATTCTGATTCCATATGGTGTCAGAGACAGAGGCTCAGTCCATAAAATCTCTTCAGTTTAAAATCCTGTATGTACCAGTAAGAATTCAGTCTGAGTAATGAGTTACAGTGTAGAACGGAAAGAGGGATGAGGGGCTTTGCTTTGGGCCAGGAAAGATAAATGCCCAATTCTCTTCCACTTTTCAGCAAGACCTGAGGTCTCCCTGTTCCAGCAGAGAGGCTACAGATCATCCAGAATGTAATTACATTTGCTAATGAACACCTCTGCCAAATGAAAAAATTCAAAACTACAAACGTCCAACAGGACTGTGTGCTCCTGAGCACTGCACTGGCTTCAACAAAGGACTCTACTGCATGCAAACATGACTTTATGGATGATGCCTTTTGCATGAGTTTCTACTGAAAACTGAGATAGAGTAGGTGAAGACATCTGCATTTTTACCAACAGCAGAGACAGGAGGATGGTAACTCTTAGTGGGGAAAGAATCACCATTACTACACTGCACACTTTTTTCAGAGTAGCCTGTAAAAGCAGCCAGGTGTATGTCTCCTCAGAAAAGGAGAGGCTGATAAGCAGAAAGGCAGCTGCTGTCCTTCATGATGCACAGCACCAGGCAGCACCCTTTACAGTTGCTGGACCTGTCAGGTGGGAGCTCCCTGTGGGGTGACAGTGCTGTAAGGCAGTGAGACAGGCAGCAAACGGAGGGGCTATAGCAGGAGGGCCCCAGGAACAACAGAAGTCCTCCTGCAGCAGGAGCAGACCAGTGGCCAAGATGGAGAGACTATGGGAAGAAAAAGGCTTCTATAGGGACTCACTGAATTTGTTCTGTCTGAAAAGTCATTAAAATTATCGGGACAGAAAGGAAAAACTGGAGGGAAGGACACATGCCCTGCAAGGACACTGTTGTCTGGACATAAACTTGTTTGCAAGTCATTCAACAATTGTGAGGTATCGTACTTAAAAAGCTGTCTTATTCTATCACTTTTGTGAGCTAGCAAGGTGATCTTGGGCTTGAAAACACTTAGCTTCTCTTGGTGGACTTTCTTCAAAAAGGAGAGGGGTATTTCCATGTCACAGCTACAGTCAACTCAGGCTCCCATAACTGAGGGTCAAGATGGAGAGGATGACTACCTACCATGAGATATCTGCAAATGCTATTTACTGTTGGGAGGCAAAAGGACAATTTAAGAAGGAATTTGACTGCTGCTTAAGACAGCTGATTTCAAAAGCTAGGATGGATAACCCCCTATAAAACTCTGTTAGTTAGCAGGAAGGTAAAGAAGTAATCCTATTATGTTCAAAAGTTAGAGTAGGCCCATATAGAAACCCTCAGGTATTAAACTCTATTAAGGCTATCTTTTAAAAATAAAGTCTTTTACCCACAAAATTCCTGTATCAGCACGTGCACACTATTGCACAGAAGAGAACTTACCTCCAACACCTCAGCATCCTGGACTTGGCACTAAAAAGTTTGGAGAAGTCATGAAGGCTTACTGGTAATTGTTTCTCAGGGATACGAAGAGGAAAAAAAGAAAAGAATCGGCCCATAACTTGACTCAGGCTGTGTTATAGAGGGAGGTAGTGATAAAATCTGCAGTGATGTCAGACAAGCAAAGGACTAACTGATTAAAAAAAGAGAAAACCTGGAGGGTTGCTTTTTTACAAAATTAGATACAACATACTTTCTATAGTTGTCATTTCAAGTAAATGACTCAGCTGTTTTAATTAGTCTCTCAAAATACCAAGGGGAAAAAAATGTGGTCACATTTCAAGCTCATCTCTTATTTTCTGGTTGGAAAAAAGAAATTCCCCAAAGTTTAAAAAATCCAGACTCTGAAGAAAGTGTTAAAAACTTCATTTTCCCCATACATTTTAAACAAGCTACCTTTGCTGTTTCTAGGATGTCTGTTACAATGCTGTCTTCTGCTATCCTGTCTTTCAAAGATATGAACCACTGACAACTCTTGCTGTCTCTTTAGAAGATATAGCTACTCAGCACCTGAGAAAATTAGATCTTGACTCAAGTCAATTTAATATCAGAGAGAAGTGTTCACTGCTAGACTTGACGGTCCCAAACACCTATTTATCCATCTCACAGGTATGTTACACAGAGTGGCAGAAGCAACACATGCAGATGGAATTTGACATGACCTACAGATAGAGGGGAAAGAAGAATTCACTCAGCCTGTCCCACTTAATCTGAGATTACAAAGAAAGGTTTCAATGATAAAACATATTTTGTACCATAAGCACTTCCATGTTATTAATTAGGGGAAAAAACACTTCACTAAAGATGTTTAAGAAAGACAAAAGAGTTATAGTACATACTTGTGTTTCAGAGCTGTCCCCTGTTCAAACTAGCAGGCTAAGTGTCAAAAGAAGGAGTGACATTCCCATAGTGTCTAAGTTAAAATTTATTTAATACGAAAAAGTTACAAATCCACCATGCAATCCACCATGCACTCAATCTGGATCTAGTGAGGCTAAAGTATGTCTTTGTGCTGCTCTTCCAGCTACAGAGGTCTGAGTGATTTACAAGTATTAACTAAGATTAGTTTTACTGAACCCGTGTGAAGAATAAACTGAGAACACAGATAAAAGAAGAAGTGCTGTCTTTCCACTTCTCTAACCAGGAGACCATGCTTTCTTTCATAACAATTTCATACAGAAAACGTTATTTCATCCTGCAAGTCAGCTAAGTGATTTGATTTGACTCTTCTACTCACAAAGGAAAAAATATTTCTGAAGAACAAATAAACATGTGCCTTTTTGACTGTCTGATGCAGTTATTAGAATAGACTTCATAAATTATTCTCAGCAGATTTAAAGTTGGAAGGAATGCTCTCCACCTATCTGACAGTTAAAATAGAGGCAGGGTCAGAGACATTTTAGACTACTGATTTCTAGCGAGCTTTTGCAATGATCTCTATCACTGTCATTCCTAGCTCCTCAATATTGTGCCCATAGGAATAGGTCCTTTTAAGAACCTAGAGCTCTCCAAGGGGGACATATCCATTGCAAGCAAGTTAAACTTACTGAATCCATTAACATCTTGGCAGCTGGAAGAAAAAGCTTCTTCATTGTGAACAGCACTGAGTTTGGTAGAGGTCTTGTCGGAAGTAGCCACGGGACCCATCTCCCTCTGCGTGCTGGTCTGAGTCTCCTTCTGCTTCTTGGCTAGCTTCCTTTAGGGTGTTTTGAAGAGGGGAGAAATCAAGGTCAGTTTTCCCTCATTAAAAACAAAGCAATGAGTAAATATTTTGAAAACCACAATTATCCCACTTGGTCAGACATGCAGGGCATGTGGCAGGCCGCACAAGAGGAAACCCCACAACTTTTTAATATAACTGTTGTGGAGCACAATAAATATAGCGATACCAGTCTTTGAGCTTAGCTGTCCCTTCCGGTAACTCATCTTGCACAAACCTGCATCACCCCAGCAGTAGGAGTGCTACATCATCCTTGACAAGGGTGGCATAGGTAAAGTCACTGGAGCGGGTGTCAGCCGCTCAGGAAGAGCAGAGGGCCCGGGATGAGGGCAGCGATCAGAACCGCTCACCAGGAGGTAAATGGGACATCTACATCCATCCCCGGGGACACCTGCACCGGGGATTTTCTTTGAGTGCCCCGGTGGAGACTGAGACCTGACTCGGTGCAACCTGAGAGCTGGAGCAGGAGTTTTGCCCTGTCCCCAAGCAGAGCAATGAGGACAGCAGCCCCTACTAAATTTTGACACACACCCGAACTGCACTGAGGATCGACAGTTAGTGAAGGGTGGGGCAATTTAAAGGTTGAAGTTATTTTAGAAATGTTCAAATATGCCTCTGTTCTGGGAAAATGGGTGTTATTTTGAGGAGACGTCAAAAACATTGGCAAAAGCAGAAACACTGCCTGCTCTGAAAACACTAACAAAGCCAACAACGTAAGAGGCTCCCCTTTTGCAAACACAGGTAATAATAAGAAAATGGAGAGAAGCAGAAGTGAGCTGCTAAGCTTCCATTGACATTTGACTGCCCTGTGCTTCATTCATATCAGAGAGCAAAACTGTTTAAAAATGAATGTGTGACATTCTACAACCCGCACCTTGAAAAAATATCACACAAATCCCTAGCACCAGCAAAGAACTTTGCTTACGCTACTTCCGTAGATAAGAAAACAAAACAAAATAAAAGGGAGAAAAAGAGATTACTGTAAGAAGGAGCTTTAGTTTTCTTTTTTTCCTCCAACTCAAAGAAAAAAAAAATCCTAACAACTAAATTATTTTGCAAAGAGGTTTTTCTTCACTAAAATGACATGCTTATGGTAAATACTACCTATTTTTTTAAACTTCATTAGATTCTTTAAGGGATATTCCTTGCAACATATTCCAACAGGCTTTATTTATTCACAGCACATGTCAGAGTGGCATTTACAAGCAAGTTCAAGCACACAGCTGAGCCCCAGCCCTTCGTGAGATGGGTAGCTAGGCCAGTTACACTCAGTTGCAAGGAAGGGTCAAAGAGAACAAAAACCTTTGCCTGTGTCTGTGGGAAATGAATATTTTAAGGCAAACTGATAATCCAGACCAGGAGAGCACAGATTTATGGAGAAGTGTCCAATGTTTGATGCAAACTTTTGAACAAATACACCTGTTTCATCTGCTCCACCAGGCTTTTACAGTTAGTGGTTTCAATTCAAACCATAGCTATTCAAATTGGGAACATAATTACAGAGTGCATATTTAGGTCTCACACAATCTCCATGGTGTATCCACTTCTGCAGATGAAGATGCAAACAGAGTAACTGTCCTTGAGTGATGAAGCAAAAAGCTGGCATTTAATGATGTTAAAAGCTCTGCTTCCAGTGTTCAGCAATGTTAGCACAGTCAGATTTATTAACTATGAGCTGCAGCCATGGGAGCCCCCTTTTTTTGTGCTGTGGTACCTGAGGTAACAACAATAGTCTTGAAGTGTATTAACCCTGCTAGGCGGTTATTTTAATCCTTTAGATTTGCTAATCATACATGGCTATGTGAATTCTTTGGCAACAGGAATTAAAATTTCTCAGTGGGAAACACTAATCCAAAATGCCAAAGTCCTTAATAACAAGCACTCTGGACTGCTGGGGTGAGCCATTACAGACGACCACTACTGGTGTTTAAAAATGGTGAGTCAAAAAGGGTGACTTCCTTATTAAATCCAGATTAAATTATTTGTGGAAATAATTATCTGTAAATCCCATTGCCTGGTATCTTTTCAGAGATGCCAACAAGCTACAAAGAGCCAGAACTGGCAGACTCGTTTTCTCTTTCAGTGAATGAGCAATGACATTTCTGCATGTGCTAGGCAGGAAAAAATAACCCCAAACCCAAGCCCATTAGTCCCCAAAGGCCTGCTTACAAAAGCCCTATGCAAAGCAGTTCTACCTGGTCCTGTAGAAGACAGAGAGGCCCCTAAAACATTGGCTTGAATGCCTAAAAAGAAAAGGTGACATGAGTTTAAAGTTCTCAATCTAACTCGCACACACAAACCAGGCTGCTCGCAGGTGGACCAGCTAATGCTTACACATGTTCAGGGAGAAGCCACACAGAAAATTGTTCTGCATCTGAAAACGCTATTATTTTCTTTCAACAGCGTGTTATCCTTTTTAACCTTTCTCCCTCTCTATTCCGAGAATGTAAAAGTTCTTCATCTAAATTTAGAAGGAAAAGGAAGACAGATCTCTTTTGAGGATTTCAGAGCTAAGCATGCCAGACACATCAAGGGGCTCTTGGTTTCTAAATGTGCCTTTTCTGCCTCCGTTACGTGTCTGGATAGAGTGGCAGCACAGGACTAAGCCTATTTGGTCCTTACCATCATTATAATTCATAGAAAGGATTACAAAATCAAATGACTAGCACTTTCTAGAATGTTAGGGATGTGACTTAAGCCCACAGCTAGGTAGAGGTTTATTTCCCAGCATGTCAAAATGCCTTTGGAATTGGAAAAGCATTTATCTGGAAATGCTGTTTCCAAAAATAGGGCACTTCAAGGGATCTCTGTGGATCACTGACAAGCTGCATCAGTGACACGGCTCCTGCTCTTCTTACTGACCAGCCTCCCTTAAACACAACAACTGCAACACTCAGATGAAACTGCTATCAGTGCATTAGTGTCAATCACGGGCCAGCCGCAGGCTGCTGCCAGTGGGTACCTGGCACAGTCTGTCACCAGGCACTGAGAAGACACCTTCCGTCCATGCATTATGCAGTTGAAAAGGGGAAGACATAAAGGACCGGGCAGATATTTGGAAGAAGAGTCTGATACAATCAACACAGGGTGAAGAGACTGAAATGTCAAAATGTGAATAAGGTGATATTAATGGCTGTTTTACATTTAAGCGTAAGGACAGTGTGCCAAGAGGAAAACAGGAGTCCCTGGATGGGGTTTACTGTGTTGCTCTTTTCAGTTCAAGAGGGTTTGTAAATGAAGAGATGATGTTTACAGGCACTATACACACACAACGGATGAGACAGAAAGATGCTCAAAGCAGAATAAAAAAATGAAACCAGCTGTATAATCAGGCAGTTGAAGTTAACCCAACTAAAGCAAGGATAAGAACTATTGGCAGTGAACTTCAATTCAGTGAGAATTTTTTGGGGGAAAAAAAAAAAGATGGGAGACTTGATTCAGCTGTTTTTCAAACTTCTACTCCTATCAGAGAATAGATATAAAATGCTGAAGCACTATATTAAAATTGCAGGAGTTCCAGTTTAACAGCCAAGGAATGCAAGCTTAGTATCAAGCACAAACCATTGACTGCCACAGGCATTAATCAGAAAGCTTAAGCAACACTTTCAGTTAGAAGTATCTGCAGGATCAGACTCCTGTTTTGCAGAGGTCTGGATAAACTTCAAGGATTATATTTTAAATGCAGCTTCAAACTCTAACTTTTTATATCAATTTTACATGCATGAATGTTAAATTTGTAACTGCCACTCCTAAAGAGCTCTTGTACATGTACGTTGACAGATTTAATTTTAGATGTTTCACAAGGATGGATTATATACACTATAATGTAGATTTGCATGCACAGGTAATTTAGATATTAGGTATAGATCACGTAAGTTAAACATGAAATTTCCTCCTACAGACAAGAATTGCATATTGCCCTCATTTTCAATATGCAGTTTAAGAAAGCTACAAAATACAATTCCTTTTAGATATTTGTGCGCAGCAGCCTGCTAGGAGTATACATATTATTTATAATGAAATCTGCACAAATTTAAGGCAGGCAGTGATCAGCCGTGCAATACCCAACTGGGAGCACTGGTTAATAGCAGTTCTATTGAAAAGGACCTCTGTCCCCCAAACCTGTAGATCACAAACTCAATTTGACAGACAGTTTCATGCTGGTGTAAAAATAAGGGAGGGATTATACATGGCACTATGGTCTGCAAGGCACAGGTAATCTTTTTGCTCTGACCAAGGATCACTAAGGCCTCTGCTGCAATACTGCACTTCAAATAAGATGGGTGCCAAAGGGACACATACAAGGCAGAACAAGAAAGGTAAATCTAGAAAACATGAGCTACAAGCAAAGGCCAAAGGCAATATGGATCTTTAATCTAGAGAAAAGAAAATCAAATCGGGCTGACAGGTCTTCAAACATATGAAAAGACACCACAGGGAAGCTGTTCTCCCTGTTTACAGGGGCTGAGAAAAAGTAATAGGGCTAACCTGTGGGAAGGGCAGTTCATTTTAAACTTTAGGAAATCCATATGCAGTAGAGGCTGCCCATCTCTCAAGCCAACTGGGCCGGTGGGCTGTGAAATCTCAGTCACTAGAGGTCTTTAAACAGCGAGCAAGAGGAATGAGAGTTAAAAGCAGTACAGCTTCTGGCAGCCTGACAGGTGGGGTATCTCCTCCCCGTGCTCCAATGGTCCTGCCAAAAACTGCAGTTCCCCACATGCTCCCTTTGCGCAGACTGTAACCTCAGCAGAGCTGAGGAATATTCTCTGGCCTGAGCACATAGGCAGCTTACTGCTTCTTATAGCTGCTACAAGGGCAAATCCTCCACTTGCAGGCAAGCGTGGAGACAGCTTTACTTGCACTTTTTTAGCACCTGCCAGGGTGAAGCCAAACTCAGTGCAGGTTATTGCAGGAGCAGAGGGAATTCACCAGAGTAAAGGTGAAGTGAGGAGTGAGGAGCAACCACACCACTTTTA